TGAGAAAAGATAGATCTTCTTTAAAGGCGGACCGAATACCAAGGAGCATTTTTTGCAGCGGCTCGTAATGTGCTGCTGCTGCTATTCGCGGGCAAATACGTGCGACAAAAAGAGACCGAGCAAGAAATGCGAACAGACAAGGTTTATTGTCATTGTGCGCGCTTCTATTTGCTGCGGTACTGAAGTGCCGTGACATGGGCACAGAAAATGAAAAAAAAAAAAAAAACCCTAGAAATTGGAAGTAATTTAGCCTACTGAGCTATCCGATGGGCTGGGAGTGCGGTCTACAGGTGAGAGTGAAAACGTTCACCCATTCCATGCGCACGAGGGCAGTATGATGTGGTGCGTATTAGAGTGTTCCAAAAAACGTGTGAGCTCGGCGACAGGTTTCGATTAAAATTGTAGTTTTGACGACAACCCTTCAGTTGTGGAATAAAAACTGCCAAAAACCGGTCATCGCGTTTTTGAATTCAGACAGCGTCGCGATGCGATTCAAGCCACATTAGTCACCTGCGCCTATATTGTACCCTGAGTCGCCCACCATTGAACATCAGTCACGTTCACGTAAAGTACAGACATAACTAAAAAAAAGACGCAGCGCGGACAAGGACATTTTCTTCGGCGTAGCAACACCCTATACCATGGCAGGGTTCCCAAATCTTAGCCGGCGCCGCCGGCCGTCTCGACGCGTGGGCCTAGTCAGGTCGTTGAGGATCGCACCCTTTGCAGGCTCTTGTCTCCTCAAAGCACGTGGGTGTAGAAGCCTCCAGGGCCGCTTTTAACCCCCCCCCCCCCCTTTCCCTCGCCCCTGTTTCTCTGTTTTCCTGCTCCATCATAAAGATTCTCTACAAGAAAAAATATTATATGCATTTACATAATCTCAACGGAGCAGACGTTCGTGCTCACGTCAGTTAACAAGCAAAAAAATAAAGGCCATTTCGAAAATTGGAAGAGGGTCGAAAACAACGACGTACATATGTACTCCGTTTCGTCTTACGATGAATCGCAGAAAGGGCTACGAGTCATCAAAGCCAATGAAACATCGTATGCATGTCACGTGACCATAGGAACGTGCGGCCGCATAGTCACACGATACGTTTACAGTCACTGGTTGGCTAAGGATGGTCTGTAGCGTCCGTGGCGGTCCATCGTATGTCTGAGATGGAGTATAGTCTGATTTCGTAGGGTGTCAGCAAAGGTCTTAAGACGCGCCCACGCTGTCGCCACGCGCTAGCGTTTTTTTTTTTTTTTTTCATGATCAAACGTTAAGCCTACATTATTTTTCCTAGAAACTTTGTGCAGTCTACCTGATTCTTCGCACTAAAAAGAGTCGTTTTTAATCGCTTTATACAGTTTTCTAGCGTATAGCCGTACACTAGACGGAGGAGTTCAATGGCTGCTTAAAACTTTTCGTTTATGTGGAACAGACGATTTTACAAATTCACGGTTTGAAAGCATGGTGATGTCGGTACCAGGTGACCATTGCGAGTGCGTTTGTCCCCAAAGAAGCTTTAGAATGACATGCGTGTCCACAAAATTGGTCATTATTTTGTAGAGAAAAAAAAAAAACTTTCAGCATTTCCACCCTGGTGAAAAAGGAAGAGCAGCGGAGCAGTAGCTTCTATTCTCGGCGATAGCTTTCCAGACAAACGATCTGCTCTTCTTTCGCAAGGGAATCTGAAGCGCTCGACGCAGTGGAAGCTTAGGCGATAGCGGCTTCGCGGAGGTTGCGGAACCATTCGCGCTGCTGCGCAAGTCGCCGCTCTTTCCGCTCCCGTTCTTCTTCCTCCAAAGAAAGGTTGCTGCCATCTGTGAGCGACGGCGGATACCAGTTGTCTGGTTGCCGCCGTCGCTCATAGATGGCGGTAGCTGTTCAGGGTTCAGTGTCATTTCTAACCCGGCGAACACGATCCTGGGGAAACCTGTCCTTAAAAGCTCCGCTGTAATATAATTTTCCTTTCGGGGACAAAGTTGAATGGTTCTACATTAACGGCGATCTTTTTTTTTTTTTCGGCCACGCGGTAGAATATTAAGGTTGGCTAAAACGCTTCAATCGCAGAGCATTTCCAGCGCAGTTACGGTACAGCGGTAACAGTAATGATCTGTCAGTAACACTACGCTATATACTATTTAGGCAGTTTTAGCATAGCGTTAACGCAAAGAGAGGCATCGATATGCCGAGAGCTCGCGCTGTAACTTCTAAGCATGGTCTTCAGTGCGCGCTGAAGCAATACGGTGTCCACGGCAGGGCACTGTGACTTTCCGGTAAAACTGCCTTTTATTTGTCTTGAGATTCAACCTCATACAGTGCACTGCGGCAAAAATATATAATATTTTTCTGGAGAAAACGCCAAGGCTACGTGCCAAGATAGAACATGTCGAAAGCGCTGATTCACGGATGTAGCTCGTGCAAGTGGAAGCTGCTAGCAGACACAACTCTTTGTGCTTTTAGTGTGGCTGTATGTTAAGTACAACAGTTTGTGCCCGTATCTTACCTTTTTTTTTAGTACAATGTTTTGTGCTCTTAGTAATGCCTGTGTTTTGTTGTTTTGTATGAGTGTAGGTAGTGGAGATGCCCCTCCCCCTCCCCCCCCCCCCTTTTTTGCTGTAAGCAAGCTTGAAAGCACCGCCATATGGTTCGTCAAATATAATGAATGAAGAACAGCACGTGACCACGAAACACTTTTGCTGACGACACTCAAGCCCAATCGCGAGTCCAATCAATTTAAGGACATTAATGCTCTAGATTCCATCTCAAGAATCACAGTAAGAAAAGTTTGCCTCTTTAGAGGAGGTCACTAATCTCCATTTTTACGTCTTGAAATAACATAATTCTACCTGCAGTCAAGATCAGGTTATTTGTGAAAGCATACACGTTTCAAACGCAAACATGCATTGTGTTTTTTTCTCTCCCAGCGAAATCTGGTACGAGCTACATCGCGCAGTGTACGGATGTGCAAAATGTATGGTTTTCTTGAGGGCATGGGCATAGACCTTTCCAGTAATCGCTTTCTGCGTGCTACCATCTTCGTCTCAGTGCTGTGGAACGCGCCTTGAGCTTGCACAGGAGCTCTCTTCCGCGAAATATGAGACGCCGCGCAGCGACCAGTGACGCAGCGAATTTCACCCGGGTGATAACCGCCGGATAGGGCTACGGACCTTCGCGAAAATCGCCCTCTGCGCGCTGCCATCTTTGTCTGCTGGGTTGTGGAACACCTTCTGAGCACGCTATGTTGCTCTGCTGTGCGGTAAACCAGAGCCTGCGCATGCGTCCACAGCTCAGTGACTCGGCATTTTTCACCCGGGTGATAAGCGATGGAAAGGTTCTGAACTCAAAAAAAGAAACGTCATCCATTGTGTTGGAGGCATTGTGGCGTGCTCCCACAATGAACATACCAATGTCACGCACGCGCCTCACCTCATTATCGCTAAACCAATCATAGACAAAAGAGGCCGAGTGATTTGCGCTTTTGACGCGTGTAGATTGGTCCCATTTCCTCGTCGGCTGCCTCTGGACTTAAGCTGAAACCAACTATAGTATGTTTACCCTCTACACGCGATAGTGCGGTCTAAAAAACTCGCTACTACTTTCTCTCGCGCCCTACTAATTCTCCCGTTCGTGCCTCTCTCTTCTGCCTCCCCTCGACTCTCTTCCTCCGTTCACCCTCCTCTCCGTGGCACACCGAGAGCGCAGAGCAGCCCTCCCCGAGATGAATGATCTGCCTAAATGGGGCTTAGGCGTGCTGCATCAGAGCGCGTCCCTTGTTGTTGTTGCCTCGCTCGTGTCGAGGGGCGAGATAAATCATCCGTTGGCCTGTAATTGCCTCTCTTCCGTTTCGCCTTATACGATGTACCGCTGGGTACGTTGCGAGCCATCGCGTGACTAAAGGCCCCTCAGCGTCGATGCGCCCTCTCCTGCAGGTCACGTGACACTCTCACATGGCCTTGAATTGATGGCGATGGCTTCGTAGCGTCCGCTGAGGTCCATCATGTGGTAAAATAGAGCATAGCCGTAACAAAGGCCGGCCACTCTGCATTAGACGCAAACACTACGGGCGTCTCCAGCGCGCACTGAAGATGCCTAAGCACTGCTAAAAGGACCGCGTTTGTCGTCTGCATATGGATATTGAGTCTATCGTGGAGGCATGCTTGGCGATGCGCGCTACATTTTGTACGAGAAAAACTTTGTACTGAACGCGAGCCATAGATTAGGTCGTCTGGAGACTGTTGAGAACGATTGTTTAGCGCATTCTTCTGACAAAGTTATCAAAAACGGTGTCTCGTTCTTGCGGCCTAGTAGAAACGAGAATACTCGAGAACCGTTTCGTCGTTTCGTCCAATAACCTCATGTCTGATTCCCCATGGCGGCGATCTTGGATTTGTCTGGACATGCGAATCTTTGTTTTTATTTGATTTACTTTAAATAAAGATATATCGAAACCTTTCGATTGGTGTCTATTGCAACATAATTTACGAATATTTTGTAAAAGCCTAGGTATTGGGAAATATATTATCCAGCGAGACGTATAGACCTTTACAAAAATTAAACTGCCTCGGTAGCCTTTTGACTTTATGAAGTAATCAAGAATGACCGCACCCGATCATTACTTAAGAGACTCTGAAAAGTCATTCGCGCGAAGGCGAATAGCGTTATGTGTCCTCCAATTGTGCGACCTCTAAACACTAGCCAATAGCCGACCAGCTTGTCTCTAACCTGGTGGAAAATGGCTCAGGAATATTTTATAAGTAGTATTTGTGTTGGTTCCCAATGATGCAAAATATTTACTCTTTTAATCCGAGTCTCAGTATCTTACTATATATGTATGTAGTAAAATGTGGGTATCAGCTATATCAAAAACAATTAAAGGCTGAATTTATCACACTCCTAATTAAAGCTTTTGCTCTTGCTTTTTGTGCAGGTACGCCACCAAAGAACAAGAAGGCAACTACGAGACTGGCCAAGTTTTGAAAGGCGAGATAGAAATTCCAGAGAAGGCACCATGGACATCGACAGCGTAGCACTGGAGTCGTTCCTCGAGCTCAACTTCCCATCTGAGCTCAACTTCTCAACTCCTATCGACTTCCACTTCAACAACAGCAGCAACAATCACAACAGCGGCGAAACGGTAGCTCAATGCACACAACAGTCCGCCGTGAGCAGCAACCCATTTCCACATTCCTCGACATCAGGCCTCAACCCCGCAGTCCCGCTGCCCAACAACCCCACCTCCCAGCCGCAAAACTCTGGAAGACCACTGCGATCCTGTCGACTCAACCCGGACTATAACCTGAGACCACGCTCAGTCCAGGTACGGATAGAGTCTGAACAGCGTCGAAGACAAGTAACCAAGAAGGAGCCCAAGCCCAAGCAGAAGCCGCCTCCTCTCTCCAAGTACAGGCGAAGAACGGCGAACGCGAGGGAACGCTGTAGGATGCAGGAGATCAACAGGGCCTTCGAGGAGTTGCGGGCTGCCGTGCCTGTCATCCCCGCACTGACCAAAGAGGAGGAACGCCAGGAGGAGTTGAGGCGGCAACAGGACAAGAACGGCGACTCCAACAAGCTCACCAAGATCACCACGCTGCGGCTGGCCGTCAACTACATCGCGGCTCTCACGCAGATCCTCAGACAAGCGGACGAGGCCGACGAGAGGGCGTCTGAAGTGGACTCGGTGCAAAGCCTCGATTCTCTCGAATCCAGCTTGGACTTTGGGGACGATCCGTTACTGATGCCTTCAGACCTGGTCGGCATGATCCTCGAGTCAGACGGAGAGAGCCTTCAACTCAGCGACGAGTCTACGCCTTGAAAGAAGAGATCGACTGAAGTAAGTGCCCCTCACGCTTGAAGACGATAACTCATGGTGTCTTCGTCGGATCCTAGGGTGCCTTCGTTCACGGAGGACAACGGTTGTGAGAGCTGTCTTCCAGACAACGTCCCGCCACTAGAGTTTTGTGACAGTCCTACAATAGGGATCGGGTAGTTGCCGCCATGTGCCGACTGAAGGCTCCACAGGAGATGTCCGTCCACATCCACCGGAGACAGCATGACGTCCCCGGTGCTGAACGCTAAACACTTTCGTTTTCAAGATATGTGCCTTATTTTTGTTATTGTTATTTCTGCTATAGTGGCAATGTAGACGAGTGATCATCTTACTTAGATCACATCGCAAACATCCGAGTGATCGTGTTTGATGCGCTGCTTTCAGAGCAGGTTCTCTGTAAGTGCGACGTCGAGCTTGCACCTGGTGCCAGCCATATCATGTAGTGCCATAGCGTCCTAGATAAATATTATGCCCCACATCGGGGGCTATTGCCAACGCTAGTTAAACACCCTACTATTGCTTGTGCTCACGAAACGATTATCCTACAGAGGCTTGAAAAAAAGCTACAGCTCACAACCTGCCATGACGTGTTCAAGATATTCCTATAATGAGGCGTCACTGACTATGCACCCTCGCAAGCGTCCAAACTGTCAAAATCACGCAAGTTTTTGTTCATAATACGTTTCTCATTGACATGGATCGCTGTAGATTGTACTACAATTTCGCTGGACCAATCAAACGTAGAATGCTTTCTATGGTATCTTATCATCATGAATGAATTCACAGTATGCTTGCGCTTGGGTCACGGTTAATGATGACTTAAAATGAAAAACAAATTAAGGGAAGAATGGTGCGCATACCTTGAACATAACTCTACTTCTCGCCCTAATTACGTTACTGTAAGACGTAAAATTGCATTTATGCAATGATAACAACGCCTACGAATGACCTACCTTAATGACCTCAACGTACTGCGACATACTAGATAGATGCATTCAGTACACCGGCCTAAATATTCAGTTGAAAAATGACTGAAACTTGATGCCTTCGCTTTTGAATTGTGCACAAAGCTCAACAGATTGTGAAATCTTCTCATGTGCCATACATGTTTGGTAGCTTATAATGTGACAGATGTCTAGTGAACAGAATGTTAACTTCCTGCGCAAGTGTGTGATGATATCGGTGATATTGGTAAAGATCTACACTAGTAAAAGTAATAATTGAGGTCGATGAGGCGGCACAGAAAGTTAACACTCAGCTCACCAAGGTTGTCTGTTCGCACTAAGGCCGTACCAGAAACACGACCAGCTAGTCTTTCAGCTATTCCGCTGGAGCCATACATTGCTAGGCTCGTTTTGCTTTGATGCACTGCTATCTTTCAAAACGTTGCTCAAGTGCTGCATTTGATTACATTCTAGCTGAGTTTGTAGTTATACCAAACTGTCCATATATTTGTGCCAATGTACGGGCACGAAACTTTCTGTGACGAGGTGCTTTGAAGGCTAAGCAACGTAAAATGCGAACCAACTAAAATCTACTTTCACTGTACGCGACCATTGAGGCCTATAGCTACTCTAGAATGCCATATCTCTCTATATATTATTATTGTTATTTCACCACCTGCCAAGCTAAATCAATTTCCTTACATAATTCATGTAGATGGTTAATAAAAGGTTGGGAGGGGGTCGAGAGTTTAAAGCATTTATCTACTTACAAACATTTGAAATTTGCGCAGGTAGCGAATATTCAAAAGGTTCATGCAATGTTAGTTGTGTATAACTGGCTTGAAATTTTGCTCCAATACTTTGTTGTCGCAATATTTCGTCGTATTCTATCTTTGTATTATGTGCCGAATGAGTGGATGGCCATAGTGCCTTTGTATGATTGAATAATAATAAATAAGACAAGAATTGTGCAATTTCAAAGAAGAGAGGTTATAAGCAATATAATCGCTAACGTTTCGTGAATAGAAAACAATTTTTTAAGGGAATATAAATCAATCATTCGTTGGTTTTTGTGTATCATTCTGTTATGAGATCTCTTTTACGAGTGCTGTTGCAGACCGTACCGAAGATGTTGCTCTTAAAATATTGTAGTTGAGACATAATCACGAAGAGACACACTGCACGTCTGCGTTCGAAGCAAGATTTGATTAGATGACTTTTCGTTTTACTTAGTTTGAAAACAAAACAAAAACAAACAAAAAAAAAATAAAATATGTACACGTGCAAAAATTAAAAAAAGAGAGTTACGGTTTGTGTTAAAAAAGCAACAACAACGTAATTTTGACAAGCTGAGAGCAATTTTGATCTCCAATTAAAAATTATATGCTGTTCTCATCTGTTCTTTGCTGTGTTTAGTTGAGTGTGTATGACATGTATGTGTATGGACTTTTGCGTGTTCGGAAACGAAAAGCAGTTAATTCTGGTGCTGAAATGTGGTCAATGCCCTAGTATTAGTGTTGAAAACAAAAGAAAAAGAAAAAGTTCCTCTCGGTGATTTATATTTCATAGCAGGTTATGAATTGGCAGAAAATGTCGTAAATGTTGAGACAGTCATGCTGAAGCCATCATGACGCAAACATTCCCTAACAGAATGTAAAATGGAGCATGAAACAAGAGGAATGAAGTAGAAGTTTACCCCTGTTTTGTTATACGTCTGTATTTGCACGTGATCACTAATGCAGATACTGCCCGGTGACAAAAGTAATGAAAGGTTCACAAAGTGCCCCAAACATACTTTTAAAGCTTGTTGCTCTGTTAAAGGTTTTTTTTTTGTTTTTTTGTTTTTGTCAAATTTGTTTGAAACATTTATATCTGGAACAACTCGAGCAGCGATGCGCCTAGTATAGTATATCTATAGTATGTAAATATGTCAATACACAAGCGGGAGTGGCAATACGTTGTTTTATAGTTGATAAATCGAAGAAATACCGGTGTTTTATTGCTTTTTTGTACCTTTTTGAAAGAACATACACTATTTCTGACGTTAATTACGTCGGGTTCTGTTGTTGTAAGCTGAGACTTGCATCAATGCCTGAAAGCAAGGAGGCGTGTGCTTGTATGCATGTGTAGAGTGTGTATGTGTGCACATTACAGACACGTTTTTTTATATATGTCCCTTTGGAAATGAAAGAGGAATAAAGTGTTTCATTGAAAGCAAACGATGCGTGTTGTTGTTCCTTCAAGAGTGTTTGATACGAATTTGTTTGACACGGAAATTTAAGTTGTTTATTTAGCATACAACGAGTATTCCTAGTTAAATGGCAACCTCCATTACCCCCCAAAAATTGACCATAATGTGAGTTCTCCATAATGACGTGACCAAGCCTCATGCATTTACCAAGTCGAGACGTTTTAGTGTTCGTGTCGTTTTTTGCCTGCAGTCTCGGGGTTTATATCATGGTACCGAGTTCGTCCTCGAAAACGTTGTTCATATAGCGAGGTATATACTGACGGGGTTCATAATAAACGAGAAAAGACTGCAGCTCTGTAGGTTTAGAGGTTTTAAGAACTCAAAGGTACCCACATAGTAGTGACCTGTTTTAGTATATGAAAAAGCACATCCAAAGATCAATAATCGAGGGCGAGTGTGGCAGTAAGGATTCTGGTAGATGCAAACAGGTGATACATTTCTTTAGAACTGTTGAGATACGTCGGTTATGTAAGCGACATATACATACAAGATCAAAAATATTTTTACCACAGCTTTAAGATGTTCAGTTTGTGTACTCTTGCCCGTAGAGTGTCGTAGAAATAAAAAAAAATGAAAGCATGCCCTGTGACGTCAGAATAACCAAGAGCTTTTCCTCACATTGCATCAGTAATCGCGGTAGACATACACTTGAAATGTCAACACGACACATATGGTTAAACTGACAGGACCAAGCCAAAGGTGCGAAAAACACTCAAGCAAGTTTAAACCTTATGCCACATGTAAGAAATCTAGCTCAAAAGTATTTGATAGAAGCGTGACACTACATGTCTTCTCGTGAAACCCTGAACACATCTTTATCGAACGCTCAAATACAGACACCTGCAGTAACCAAATTTACAGCAACATAACTTACGAAATCCAAATTGCTATTTTTTTAGTATCGCCTAGCTACTAGGCGTGTTTCGGACCTCTAAAGTACGGATTATGATTACGTTTAAGCTAGGCCAACGCTCTTTCTGTCTGTTTAGCAAAGCGTACCGATAAATGTACAACGAATATAATCACGAAGAAGCGGTGCTCTTGTAATGTTTTAATGTGAAGTTTGGCTCGGTAACCTCACATAATGTGCACTCATGTCACGGTCGCACCTGCTTGTGAGGATGTCATTTGAAAAGCGTTATCCAAAATGACTCTTTGACTTATTTTTGCGGCAATACATACATTTCGGAACACTTAACGCTGTAGTGTTAGTTCCTTGATGTGAGTCGCTGAAAGGTCTGATGCGCTGGAGCTTAAGTGGCGTCCATTCGCAATTAAAATAATAAACCGCCAATCAATTTGTCAATTCGTGAGATTGTCAATGTCGACTGAATGACAGTCCATTACGCCAGTACCAAGCTCAGTTGTTAAAAAAAGAAACAAAAAAGACGCGAACCCCTGTGACAATGTAAAAGATAAACCGTTTATGAAAACTGTGCACACGCCACTTCCTCATAGAAACCTGCACTTTAATAACTATTTCAGTGTCAGATAATTTAGACGGGATTACGTCTCGTCGCGTCCTCGAAAGCTTAGGACTCGCTCGGTAAGTGCAAATTCTATAGACCAATGAGCAGCTCTGACGTCACGCCGCTGCGGTGGCGCTGCTGTCATCCGTGCCCACGCGAAGACGCTTCACTTCCAGCATGAGCAGACGCTCCACATACCCCTGTCATGGCGTCACTTCCGGTCACCATGAGAGGGGGATGGAAAACCTCTTGGCTCTCCTATATTTATTTTGTGTTTGGGGTGAGTGCGCGACGACTCTTGGTTCCCTAGCGAGGAATTGCGTGAGAGTATACACTATCGAAATGCCCCAGTGTCATACTTTTAAGTTGCAGGCAGGTACCGGCACAAAGAAAATGTCACAAGTGAAGTTATTTCGATTATTTTGGCGCTTTGATCTCCGTACAACGAGGGGCCATTACGGCACGTAAAAATGCAATGGGCACGGTGCTGTGGA